GTGAACCGATAACAGTCACTTCCACTATCGTGGAACACGTTCCGTACATGAAACATGAGCGCGGACGGAAGGAGAGTTCCAACTTATACGCGAGTACATACGCTGAATTACAATGATGTTCGCGCTCCCAACTTTTCGTAGGAAATGCTAGACGCTGACGAATCGACTGTACGTGGTTTTATGTCCTTTGATGTTTTGATAACACGCTAGACATCACAGGAACTTACCTACTTTGTTATTAAATTGTAGCTATTATATTGTCGAATAACCAATCATTTAACTCTGGTACTCCTGAAATTTGCGGTTTTTCTAGTAGACAAGTATTACGTACGTTATACAGGAAGGAAGTTATAGTGTTATTCATAGATGGTCTTTAATTACTTACGGTTTATCCATTTGACGTATTTCGATTAATTAACAAATCATTGACATTTTGATTTTGGGAGGTGATCTAATTTCTTTTATAACCTAATTTCCTGAATTTGGAATGTGTCAAAATAAATAAGACAGAAGTAACAAAGACTGAAAATGATAGTGCAAGTGATCGATACAGTTCAGCAATTTTCACTGTCGCACGTTGAAAATGAAAGTGCAAAGTTCAGAAAGGCAATTTCGTTGATGTAAGTTAAGTGCGCGCGGCGCGGATTTCGCCGAAGTGTAGTGGAACGTGACGCCCGACATCCGACTTGTGCAAGTTCCTCCACCGAAGTGAACGCGCCACGAAACGTTGCAGATTGGAACAAGTATTTTATTAACTTCGTCCCGGCTCAACATCTACCCACATTGCAGTTTATTGAAGCATCCGCAAGTCAGGACGAAATCGATGAGTGCTTTCTCTCTTCGGTGATAAAATAACTGTCTAGACGTGGTACGGTTGCCAGACATTTTAATGATCATGCATTTCTTATGGCAAAACTTTCCCTAGGTGGTGAGCCATAGTAAATACTGTACATTGTATACCTAGTACGATGTAGATTTTCCACAGGCGCGTCGCTATGACGCCGTATGGCGACCTGACGCCTGAAGCCGCCGCCGTCGCCGGTCGGTCGCGTCATACAACCCCGATGCAATTTTAAAATTACCCCGCACCGAGGGTGTTCATTCGTTCATTTTAATGTCCATTCTAAATGATTGTGAACACGTGAGGGGGCGAACTGCAACGCAAATAATAACATATTCAAAATTATTCTCGACATATCATTCTGCTAGTGTTCAATAAACCGTGAAGTTATTTGAATTGCGTGAATAGAAATTGTATGCAACGCAACGCATTAATCGCATTAGCACTTTGCTGGGGTTGTGTACGTGCGAATAGTGAAGACCCTTTGAGTAATCCTGAACTTGTACGTGATCCAATTAATTGCCGCAGGAGTTACCGCACCGGTGTCGCTGTCAGCTTCATAATTTATTATGATATTTCGTTAACAGGCACCCACTTCCTTATGTTCATAACATTTTAGGATGGATTTTATTCGTGATTGAAATTTTAAGTAAGCACTTAATTACTTAGGTACACGTGAGTCATGCCATGAAAGACCTAAAGCGTTTTAAGTTAAAATTCATTGTTTAACTCTTTTATCTTTAAATTTGTGGAAATGGCTTCGTAATTAAGATAATCGAAGGAGGGCAGGGTTGATGACTCGCAGTCTGGCCTTTCGGCTGTGCGACGTCGTCGGTTTTATCGACCTCGGGGCCTTGACATAAGGAGTCTGAAGCACGCGACTGGCAACAAAACTTGGAAACAATGTTCAACACAATAATTTATTCAAGTGTCAACCACCCTTAATGCGGTACCTACGCACTTTAATAGTGTGTAACAAATTAAACCTTGATAACTTTAAACGCTGTCGCGTCGTTCAGACTTACTCGAATGTTACACGAGGGAATTCCTAATCGTCGTAAACGTAGAATTGGCGTTATTTATTAAGAAATAATGCACGCATCTACAAAAACTAGTCTCCTACCTGCGAATGTCGTGTTGTAGAAGGAAGCCATTGAATATAATCGTTGAATAAGCGTAGCGTCAGGTAGCGTGCGTAAAATTCGATACGAGACTCGGCGGAGATTATCTCAGATTAACATTCCGACCCTTGGGTCCCAGGATCGTCACCTATGGAGGACCAATGTAGGACAAAGCCTTTTCCATAATAAAACCGTAGAGCCCGCGCCCAATTTACCCAATAAAACGTATGCGGGTGACAGACGTGCGACAGCCGACACCGTGGCGACTTGCGACTCATTCGACTCCCATGTCGCAGTAATTACCCGAATTAGAGGCTTACACAATACAAGTGCATTAATATCATATGTCATGGTAGGGGCAATATAACATTTTTCTTCGACTCCTCATGCGTGAAACACAAGTTACATTGCGTACGTATGTAAAGGACGCGGATGAGTCATCACTTGATATTTAACAAAGGCGTAATATTTATAGAGAAATTATTCACCGATATGATTAATTTGCCTATTTGTTTTGTTGCGAATAAATCATTTATAAGGAAATACTTCATAAATATAGAATAAAGCTATAGCCAGCTATTGATAGCGAGCTAAAGTCACAGGCCGTTACTCTTTCAGGACAATATAAGTTTATTTACAGCAGTAGTGTGAAAGGCAGTAACTTATACATTTTCGCAGCGTGGATATAATCGTAGGCGCTGGTTACAATATTTGCGCCTACTCAACCCATAACTTCAAATCGCTACATACATTTACATAATAGGTTCCTACGCTTCCGACTAGTCATTGAACTGTGATTCTATTGTAAATTACCTAATTATATTGGCGTATCCAGACCAAATAAGTTTGTTCATTATTTCGGGAAAACTGGCGAAGTGAAGTATCGTCTGACTATACAAATACTGACTAAAGAATATAATGAGCTTAGTTTGCGATTTACGGGCAGTTAGTTTCCCGTCGGCGCCGATGACAAATGATATCGAATTTCCGCTTTCACCACAATGCATCGATACCGGGAATGGGGTAGACGATGACTCATGGAAATACTGGAGGGACCCAGACAGGGGAGGCACTAAATACTAAATTACCTAGGGTTCGCGTGCACACGGTGCACACAATCCAGCTTGATGTAATCGGTAAAATTGATTCAAAACAATAAGTTAAATTAAGACCGTGTTCAATGCTAATGCTGAACGTGTGAAACCTTTGTATCCACATAACGCTGTTGCTAGGTAGACGCGGCTCGTAATTCGAGTTCGGGAGTTTTCCAGCTTTCATTGTTTGTTGTATTTGGTACACTATGGATATTTTTGGAGTTCTATTAGCCAACCAATGGCATTTCCTTGTTTAGTCGTAAGCACAATAGGCTTTTGGAAAATTAAGCATTTGGTTGTTTTAACACAGCAGACGTTTATTACTTTCGACTGTGAATACAATGGTTTAACAATAAACAGTTGTTGAAAGTGTGCGTTTAACTTTGTCGTTTTCAACAACTACTGTTTAGTTTTTTTAAACAAATAGTTATCTTGTAAGAAATGGAGTAAGTAGTGTAAGCTGATTATGAACAGATCATCGTCTAATGAACCTTTCTAAAACATGAACACAATCAGACGTAGACTACAATCAATAAACCTGGACAATTCATTAAAATGCTGTAGCTACATGGTATACACGTGCCTAAATAAAATGGCTGTGTCCGTAACTACGTATGTACATAGGTATAGACTGTAGCTAGTACTTCAGGGAGAGACCATCGAGACATATCGATCAGGGACGAGTAGGTGGGACGCCCGCAGTGGCTGGAACAGTATGGCGGCTAGCAATACTCTAACACGTGTTTGTATCGGATTATTTAGCCAGTTTAATAACGTACTGCTATTTTAATCAGTTGGACGTATAACAACAATATCGTTTTCGATTATGGAGGGATTTGATAACTAATTATAGTTAAGTTACTTAATTTTTTGTTGTAAACACCTAAACCATAATTTAAGTAACATCTAATGAGATTTTTTTCTCGTTAAATTGAGCGTTTTACCTTAAGTAAGTATTTAATTTTACCATTATTACTAACCTTATTACTACTAGACTTATTACTAACCTAAACTAAACTAAAACAAATATCTTTACGATTATGCTTAGAAAAGTTTTCGTTTCATCAAGAACGGTGACGTACAATGTGGTTCTGTATTCTCAAACTATCTTTATAGCCCATTCCATTAACCATTCATCTTTCGTCCAGATGTTAGACCTCGTAAAATGGAGCTTTCAATGATGAACCCGGACATTTTTCTTTTGAACGCCACTGTGGCTCTGTTTGTACCACCAATTTGACATTGATAACGAGTAGTGACTTAAACTGTCAAACACCGAGCGGTCACCGGTGACCGTAACCTATTGTTCTTTAATTGTGTCTATAATAATGACGATATTCAACGAGTTAAATTAACCTAAATTATTGAGTCCTGTATGTATGTATAACAATAGTGAAGCAACCTCGGTGGGTCCTGCCATATTCATATTGATTGATTCGTCAACACGCTTAAAAATTCAAATGCGGGCTTCTTTATTCTGAACGCGTGTTATAGAACATAATAACAAATGGCTGCCGCATTCCAGACTCGAGTCATTTAATTAAGTAACTACCTTCCTACGCACTTGTTTATTGATATCGTTCACCACGATAAACTTGAATGATTACTTGAGAGAGATTAATAAATTCAAATTGTACGGTTTCGGTCGATTGCTCTCGCCCGTGTTTCAACAGGATTGAGACATTTGATTTGTAATGCCGTTTGATTTGTCTAGGTACTTACATTAACTAGCTCTTTTTTGACTTAACTAGAATGAAATCTAAATGTCTGCGAGATTCCAATTAGTTATGACCTTTTCGTAATCAAGAGTTTTTGTTTAAATTGTGTTTAGGCAATACATTCAGAATCCAGTACTTACACTGCTAAAAAAATCTCGAAAGTGTGACTAGTTTCGTTTGCTTTAATAAATTTTGAAGACTACTGACGTTGGTTTCTTTGTTCCAGTGGTCTCAACTTCCAAGACTTGATCGTGCGACAGGGAGCCATCGATTCACCCCCCAAGACACCGTTCATCCTCGGCTTCGAATGCGCCGGAGAGATCGAGCAGGTCGGCGAAGGCGTCACCAACTTCAAGGTAATTAACTTATACAAGTAACTATAGATGTACGATTTTGTCAGGATCATTAATTACGCCAGTCACTGGTAATATAAAAAGACTTCTTTCTTAGCGGAAGAAGAAAACATATGGGTCTCCTAATTGAACCACATTCTCGCCCAATTAATCTTAATAAATTCTCGAGCATTTACCAGCCCTAATCTAAATTAATTTCTCCGATACGTTTCTTCGTGCAATTCCTCAACATTACTATGTGAAATTTCACACGCTTCGAGAATATTAATTGGGTAATGAATAAAATAATTAATGCGCGTTCACCACAGATAGGCGACGATGTCCCTGCCGGTATTACACAGTTCAATTTCTTCCTTTCTAAGAAGAAATACATTTATTTTGAAATCTTTATTTAATAACTTAAGTTTAAAAGCAAATTGGTCACGGGTGGCTGTAGTAGGTACGTATCGCAACGGATTGCAACTGCCGCTATTTCTAATTTAAGTTAAATTAGTTTTAATTACAATGTCTGTAATAAAACTTCCGTTTTAGCGTTAGACTAACATTTTGTTACATCTTTTCTATATGGCTACAACCTATTTGCCCCGGTGGTAAAGAATTAACATCCCATAGAAGGGAAGTGAATGGTGGTCATAACTTTGAAAACTATCTACCATAAAATGGACTTGTAAATATTCTTTGACATTCAGATCTTCCTCGCGTTCCCGTGGCATAAAAAGTAGCCTATAAGTTATTCCAGACTATAATCTACCCCTGTTTCAAATTTCATCCCGATCCCTTCAGCCGTTTAAATGCGAAAAAGGAGTAACTGACAAACAAACATACAAATTTTCGCATTTATTTATAATATTTTTAATCGCTACTTAGTCCATCATAAGTTAATCTTCTCATTGTTACGTAAAGTCAACATCAAAGCTTGAGTCGGGTATATGATCCCATAAACACGTCTCATTGTTTCTACGCAAAGTGAAATATTGTTATTGGTCTAAGATTTAGTGTTATGGGGCAGTAGACATATTGGCTTCTTTTGTAGGATTTTATAAATTGATTAATTTAAGTTGGAGCTATTTAATGATATCGATGAAAATGTAGAACGATTATTTGGTAACCTAGGGTACCTCAAGGAATTGTTCTGGGGCCACCTCAAATATTGATATTTTTGTGAACAGGTTGGCGACCAAGTCGTGGCTCTTCCGGAGTACAGGGCCTGGGCTGAGCTGGTCTCCGTGCCCGCACAGTACGTGTATGCCCTGCCTGAAGGCATGACAGCTTTGGACGCCGTAGCCGTCACCACCAATTATGTGGTAGCCTACTTGCTTCTCTTCGAGATGGCCAACCTGACTCCTGGCAAGAGCCTGCTTGTACACTCCGCGGGAGGCGGTGTGGTAAGTCATTGCTGCATATTTATCTTTATACTTATTAAGGTTCCAAATTCGAGGAGCACGAACAATCAGTTGTAGTTTACTAAAAACTGATTTTACTGCATCGGATGACAAATCAATGTAATGCATAAAACAAAGATGACCAACTGTATTATTTTCTCTCCGTCGACGGAGTCACGGAGACTACTTCAGAGAAATGAAAGTACAAGTTGTTTTTGTCAAGTTTACGTAAAAAACAAGTTGTTTTTATCAATCAAAATTCATGAATGCAAAATGCTAAAATTAAGTTTATTAAAAGGTTGACAGAACCGAAATGAAATCGAAAATACTCGCGGTAGCATTGACCCTGGCGCGGACAGGCAGAGACAGGGCGCACACAGTGCACAGCACGCTCCACTCTCGTATGCTTCATAATTACTGAGCAAACATTCTAACGAGATGCCTAATTGTTGCTCTAAATACTTGAAAATATATGTTTGCTCTGGAATTTTTGTTTCAACGATCCGACATGACGTGACCACCCTTGCGTGTCAGTGACCGGTGACTCGGAAGCTTGCTCGCTGGGCGGGGCGCGGGGTGACAATACCAATTAGCTGACATTTATTAACAGGGGAAACCAATTTAGACGCAAACAACTTACGACTATGCTAACTATTCGTGATAATGTGGTGGTAAATGGACATATTGTTTTACTGTCATCCTATCTGAGTGCTTTTTAAAAGTTTGAAAGGTACCTGTATGAATTAATATTGAAATTTCTAATATGAATTAAAATTTTAAGATCATAGCTAACTAGGTTTTATGGGTAGACACCGTTTTATCCATACAAAGCTGAACATGACAATACCTTTAATCTAGCACATACATTTCGAAAAACGATGATGATTGTTTCATTACATACAGTAACTTTAAACCGTATTAATTTGTGGTACTAACAGTCCTGTAATATTATAGGGCCAAGCAGTAGCTCAGCTGGCGAAGACGGTGGAGAATGTGACGGTGTTCGGCGTCTGCTCCAAATCCAAGCATGAGGCTCTGAAAGCCAACAACAACAACATCGACCACCTTCTGGAGCGTGGCAGCGACTACACCAGCGAAGTCAGGAAGTAAGTCCACACTCTTGTTTTAACAACACCCTGTAAAGGTAAGGGGATTTAACCTGACCTCCCAACAGTTCTTTGAAATTGAAATTGTTGGTAGCATATGATTACGTACAGATGCTTCTGAAACAGAATCGTTTAAAAAAAGTATAACTAGTATTGGGCATTTTTTCGCTACAAAAAATGCCTAATACTAGTTCCTCTTGGATCCTTTACAAATAAAGTTTATACCTGTCCAAAGAAGACTGAAGAGTAAATCTTCACGTTATTATACCTGTTCTTATCTGAATTGTATCTGATACAATAATACATATTACAAGTTATAACAGGTTCAATTTACAGCACTGTCCTGATCCTCCCACTTGCGCATTAGGATTATGAGATTACTAATATCAATTTACCTCTATCGGGTCTAATGTACCGAACCCTTCAAGGGTCGTTACGCCCACTCTTCCTGCCACACGTTACTGTAAATAGATTCTTAGGTATAATCCCAGCCAAATACACAATGACCTTTTTGATCACCCAATAGAAGAATGAGTTACAGCAGTAAAATATAACTATGTATGGTTGTATTAGTTTGAAGAATAGTATAGATAGGTACAGTAAACGTTAGTGAGACGGTTCTGTTCCTTCTATAGTAAATTGTCCTTTATAGACAAACCATGAATGACAAAAACTTCTTCTAGAATAGAGTCATTTATTTGCATCGTTATCTTCCTTTCTTCGTTATCTAGAACTGCTACATTTTCAAAATTTCAATTAGGTACCAACACAATGGTAACGATTTCACTAATTAGTACGAGTACAACATGTTGTATGTACTTGTTCGTCCTTGCGTTCCAATTTCGCAACTCGATCGTAATTTTACGCGTGTAGGTACAATAAACTAGCGAATTTGGAAGTTCATATTAAGAATTCGGTGAGATCATCAATATTTGAATGAGTTTCATTATTCTTTGAACACGTGCCAAAGTTAAAAAATCAATGTGATACCGCCCCATCTATTGCGACTTTATGAGCTATCAGTCTTGTTCAGGCTATACACGTACCCGCTTTCAAGTAATTTGTAATCTTGTTAAATCTTTTGATAAAATTCGTTTCTCGAAACAATGTCTTATAAAAATGTGTTAATTGTAAGGCGATTTACAATGAATCACAAAGAACAAATTAATTCGTTCAGCAATCACGAAGAATTCTAAAAATGAAGGGAGGGTATCGTGATATCACTGAGCTAAATATATCTCGTTCAGCGGCCCTTCATCTTCCTAATAATACCTTTGTTTACGTTACGCCCATTAAATGTTTGGTAGGTATGCGAGGATTTTTATGCTGGTGTATTCCTATTATTGTCACGATAAATTCTTACTAGTTACACAGCGGTTTGTCAGACCATTTTATGACGGTGTTACATATAAATCTCTTCCGGATTCCGAAGGGTTACAAGCATCTGGTTCACCATTTAAAAATGCACAGTTGAATCATTGAATGATGTACTTCCCTCCGCGCGACGTCTCAAAGCCAGCGTATTGTTCCCAATCCCATGCTTAGTTAATTGGCGCCTATTACAGTTACATATTTCAGCGCGAGTCCTCCTCGTGTGATACACGCTCTGCCAGTTTAGAAAGACCTCTCCCACCCCCTTAGAGCTTTTATTAACAGTTCAAATGTGAGGACATAATAGCTGCAGCAAGGGTCTGCTTAAGTTGGCTGGGTCTCACGTTAATTGTTCGGTTTATAACCCGCTCCTTAGGGCAGCTGCTTCGTAACAAGCACGTCATTTAATTCTCGTAAATAGACAAAGATATTTTTATATCTGTTGAGCACTTTATAGCGTAAACAAGCGAGCCACACAAGTTCAGTGTAAATAAATAGTCGGTTATCTACTTCGCGTAGACATGCTCTTACTAAAATATTGATTTACAGTATTTATAAAGTGGTGTAACAATGACATGTATAATTATTAGGTACATAGGTACTATTTCTTTGTTTTAGTGGGTAATCCTAAGATTCAGTTTACATGATAATGAGTTTAAATGAAAATTATCTATCTAACTAAAATCCAATCTTATACAGATACGAAACTCATCTACAAATATTTTCTAAGGTCATTATTTTTATTTGGATTTTAAAAACTTAATGAATAAGTTAGTATCTTTTGTACTTGCTGAACGGTGTCTAACAAAGTTATATAAAATTGTCAGGGTGTCTGCCGACGGCGTGGATATCGTGTTGGACTGCCTTTGTGGCGAGGAATGCAACCGCGGCTACCAGCTTCTGAAACCGATGGGACGGTACATCTTGTACGGTATGTATTCTCAAAGGAGTTTGTGTTTTGACTAATTTAATACATTTCAATAATGTTTAAACCTGAAAATGTTAAATACTTATTTAAGCTCAAACAAATTGATATTATTGCCACTTGCTATTTGCTATTAGTTAACACCTAATTTAAATAGTGATCGTAATATTGTATTCAGAGCATGTTTGTGAAGTGTTAGTAAACAATGGTTTGTATCGCAGGATCATCTAACATCGTGACCGGCGAGACGAAGAGCTTCTTCAGCGCCGCGCGTGCCGTGAGTATTCAATCATTAATTATCTGTATTGCAAAGGAGTATTCCTTTACTTGAGAGTTGCGCTAGTGTCGTTTATAGTCATTTAAAGCTTTCTAGATTATTAAGTACTTTATTTAGCTGAATAAGTAAGTTGGTTACACTATGTGACTGCGTTAAACATTTCTTCCGTGGTAAACATTTACCTTTTTCTTAGCATCCTATCTAGAACTATGTCCGGTTTCAAATCATAAAAGACTTTGAATAATAAATTACTAAATGAAGATTTGTATTCCAGTGGTGGCAAGTGGATAAGGTGTCCCCGATCAAGCTGTTCGACGAGAACAAGAGCCTGGCGGGTCTGAACCTGCGACACCTGCTGTTCCAGCATGGACGCGCCGAGTACGTGCGCCGCGCAGTCGAGCGCGTGTTCGCGCTCTGGGGAGAGGGCAAGGTCAAGCCACTCGTTGACTCCACCTGGGCGCTTGAGGATGTAAGTAAAAGACCGAGGACCTCTTTAGGCCAATCGTTTGGGACCCAAAAAATTAAGCAACCCTTTAAAATTTTTAATAATTATTCTAAACATTGTTTTCTATCATCAGGTTGGTGAAGCCATGCAGAAGATGCACGACCGTAAAAACATCGGCAAGCTAGTACTGGATCCATCACTGGAGCCAAAGCCTAAGCCAGCCACCCCAGCCAAGGGCAAGTCCGGCAAGGAGAAGAAACCAGCCAAAGAGAGCTCCGAGGAGAAGAAGGACAAGGACGCCAAGGAAGAGGAGAAGAAGCCAGCTGAGAATGGTGAGAAGAACGGGGAAAAGAACGGTGAAAAGAATGGTGAAAAGAACGGTGAAGAACCGCTCACTAACGGTAACAGCGACGAAGGTCAGTCTCGAACTGTTGTGGCCAGGCATGCGTAGATGCGGCACGCTTACACCGCCGCACGCGTGGACTCGTGACGTCACTCCTCGCGGGGAGTGCCGCCCGCGGACTGTTCCACGGTGCTGCTACGAGTAACGAGTATTTATTCATCATGCGGGTCAAACAACCATCTGTCTCGCTTCAAATTTTGGCTTCTGCGCTGATTATGCACCCTTCGAATACATCGAACTAATAGTTATTGATTACATAAGTCGTTTGTAATTTATTTGCTCAATCGAAGGGTTCGTACTATAATCAGAAATCAATTGGAGCTCGGCAGTTGTGCGTTTCACTCATTATTATTTTATTATTATATAGCTTTTATTTTGATTAACGACGCACGCATTTATTGGCTAAACGCATATTATCTACATACATATTATTGGCTTTTTCGGAGCCATACCTAATAATATATTCGAAATATCTTCAAATACTTATTATTTATTTAAACAGCCTTTAGACTTAGTTTAGTATCAATGCTGGTAGCATTTTGCTTGCAACAATTGTCATCATTAGTTATAGTACTACACTGAAACCACCCTTATCTACCTATGCATAGAACATAATATTTATCATCTACATTCATTTCTTAGATCAACATATTTGCTTAATTTGAAGCTTTTAAAAGAATAGATTAGACACTACACATCATAATTATTTTAGTGTTTCACGGTTATGATAAAAGTTCTTAAAGTTCTTGATAGCCAGAGCCGTATTCAAAGCAAACTAGGAGATTGCCTAGGGCGCCAGGTTACAGACGTATCTACCTAACTGCACAAAAATTGGCGAGGGCGGCGCGGCGCCAAAATAAATTAGGTGCTAGCCTAGGGCGCTTTCTGAGTTAAACTCGTGGTATAAAGAACGCAGATCTACAATGTGTTTTCTATTGTGTCATATTATATCGACAGACAAGAGGTTAATCCGCCTCTGGGTAGACTAACGTATTTGTTCTCACCAGATGGTGCTAATCTGAGGTCCTATTTGTCCAAAAAATAATTTCCTTGTGTCAAACCATTGGGTAGGCAAATTTTGGCAGTGATTGGATAAATAGGGCCTACTGCATTAGCGCCATTTGGCGAGAACTGCTGAAACGGATGACAATACATAGTCATTATTCTCATTATCAGTTGTTTTCTCAATACATGTTCACAGTTAATATGACTTTTTTTTTAAATACCTGTCATTTTTCAAGTGGGCACAGGTGGTTAGTGCCTACATAATGGGCATGCACAGAATCAACATGTAGGTAATATACATTTACTTTAGGTACTGCAAAATTATCAAACATTTAGCAATTACCTACAATCTGAATAATCTTCTTAGATTGTCACTATAAAAACATCACATTAATATTACACATTTGAAAGTTTATCCGTCAAAAATGCTGAAACTACTGAACGGATTTTGATAAAATTTGATAAAAAGGAGTATGGGCTGGTATAGGTGATAGAATACTTTTTATTCCGATTAAATGCTCCCATGGGCTAAATCAGGAATCATATTCTACGCGGACGAAGTCGCAGGCAATAGCTAGTGAAAAATATTTCTTTTACATGTAACCTGCACCTATTTGGTCAAGAAATTTCCAAAATTCTTGTCTAAAGGCTGTTGAATTGAAAGAAATATACGTTTAGCCAGCTTGGTCATAAGAAGTCGGGTCTGATTTTTATTTATAAGTTAAGTAGGCGTAGCATAAACTAACTAAATACATACATATAAAATATTATGTACTTATTATTGTTACCATATCTGCATAAATTATGTAGCATCTATTTACAGAAATAGTGTGTGGTTTGTAGGTTTTGCTTATATTAAAAACCTATATAAGTATATAATCATGGATTTGAAATTAGCACGTATAGTATACTAGAATACATAAACATAAGCATGCTTTGCGATATGTGAAATTATTCAGATGCTAGAATAATTAGAATAGATAAACTACTTGAATATTTAGTATCAATTTTTTTTAAAACTATATTGATCTGCTCTGAACAGCATAATGGCTAGTCCTAGAGGTCAACTTTAAGAAAAGTTAATTTAAAATCTCTAGACAATCTCAAGTTAATAGTTCTACAATATTATTTTTTTAAAACATTGCTATTTAGTTCATATAAGGAACAATGTACTGACTTGTGTTTTTTCTGCAATTCCAGAGTCAAAGGAGAAGGAGAAGGAATCGAGCTGAATTACTTCCCCCGAGGACTGAACCAGATAAACCACCGCCAATTGATTATGTTAGAGTCGAAGCTGTCCCGAGGACGGCGCCGGCGCCCCGCTTGCTCTGCCGGCGCCGGCGCTGCTTCCTTATGTGTTGCCTCACCTTATTATCCTTATTCAATATACAAGTCTGATTACCCGACGTCGTTCGGTCGCAACCTATTTATAAATGTTTTCCATCAATATAATCATTCAAACGAGCGACCGAACGATGTCGCAAGCTAATTTTAGTTTTTAATTATTCGTCTATCATCACATTCTCCTAGTTTTGTTAGAGTTATTATGAAATTAATCGTTGAAAACGCGACAGCGAAACTACAATGAATTTATTTTTAAACAATTTTTATTCTTTTAATAAATTAATTTCATAATTTGGCCTAAGTTAAGAATTTTCTCAGGTAACATACAGTCTTTTTTTATTATAGTTTAATGTTTAAGACTTTATTTTTAAGATGAGATATTTTAATCTGCAGTTATTTTGAATGGCTATTGTATAACTAAGGTGCAGAGATGCTTAATCTTTATGTATGTTAAGCTTTAATATTTTATTAGTAAATGTTTAAAATTTGGCCCACGAGACCCACACCCGTCACCCGCCCGCTCGGGTCGCCTCGTCGACTGTCCGCCGCCCGAGCGACTGCCTGCAGTCTCTCGGCAGCGACTAACGAATGAGAAACCTTACGTGTGATATTTTGTGGTAGGTATGCTAGATGTTTTGCGGTATTTTTATGCTGCCTTTACATGACATATTATTTTTGTTACTTTGGTCTTAAAAGTCGATTATTTTATATTTTTATACTTAACGTTTTGTAAATTATTTTCTAGTTAAGAAAACATTTCACAGAATTTGTTTAACGCACCGGTCATTGTGTGACAGACACGATCGTCTGCCTAGGCTCTCCACTCGGCGAGTCTTCTACTCCTGACCCCGACATAGGGCGAGCTTATCAATCCGATTTGTGAAATATTTTTGTGGCTAACTTCATACGAATCAATATAATCGATGTCACCCTTCGATGTAAGTGTAATATTTTTATATTTCTGTAATACGACCGGCGACTGTACCGCGGTCTCATCTCATTTGTAACGAAGCTTTTATATACTATCTCCTCACAATAATCACATATCTCCTCCACATACACATTCACACGATGTATATTAGGATTAATATTTTGATACCAATATTCACTGCATTTGTTTTGATATAACTAGCATATTGTATTTGTCTACCCCTTATTTCTTAAGGTTGTAACAATTTACGACCATATAAATGTACAGTATGGTTGTAGATAAATGTACCCAGTACTATTTAAATATTTTAATCTGTAATACACATATCATGCGGATGTAAAATGTAACTCTCTGAGGCTGAAACGTAGTCCGGTGCGCCGGAGTAAAACACCACTGCATCCCACTGCTCAACTGATCAACTGACGACCCGCGCTCTAATGTGTGTTCATCAACCGCCGACTTCTGTGACAGACTTGAATTTTTATAAACTTTTACCCTTTTGGAACATTTTAGCAAAGGCATGAGTACTAGCGCAGGACGGGCCGCACTCTCTCCGTAGGTAGCTTTTGTAAGTCGTAGTGGCACACGAGTGGCAGGACTGCGTATGATGCTGCTTTGTTTATCGTACGGTGGCTTGGTGCTAGTTTCGTATCATATGCGGATACATCTCGCTTCAGTGTCTCGGACCAATATCTTAAAAAGCTACTTTTAGTCTTCTTATCAGTAATATTCTTCGCTTTGTGTGTCAAATATGTGCGAATTTCTTGTAATGTGAACCTATATTAATTAAATCTTGTGTATATCGACCTGTATAATGGTTTAGAATTATCTCTGAATTTTCTTCTATAAGGATAATTGATGAAATTCAATAGTAATAGAGCTGGGGTGACTGCGCCGTTTGTGATTGTGTCCAAATTGTTGTAGGTTAGTATCAAATTGATGCCAATATTTATTAACTTGAGGATGGGTTAGGAAGGGAGTGAAACCAGCGCGGTCACGCCAGCAGACTCATAGCAGACTGGGTCGTTATTGTATTACACATTTATTTTTATAAGGGCGGGCCAGTGTGATATCTATACTATGAAATAAATAAATAAATATGTATGATCTGTAAAAATGCTTACTAAAGTCTTTTATTTCTAAAATCCTATCCTGTAGCTTTGTACTAGCACATTTGATAGGAGGTACATGGCAACACATATTTTTACTTGTAACAAATAGACATTTTGTAGACAATTTTTACGATTTATTTGGTATTTTTAATCTAGATACACTCCATATACAACTACATTTGCAAATATATGGGGATTCTCATAATTGTACGAGGCAAAAGCATCACGTTCGTGGTCCCATAGGAACGTATGAAATATTTGGACACTCTGCTGCCGTTTTTGACCGATACACACACTCACAATGATTCTGTACCTGAAACAGAACATAAACCAAGTGACACAATGCATAACTATAGTTTTTTTTTTGTTTATGATATAGACCGGCAAACGAGCAGACGGATTATCTGATGGTAAGCGTTCGGCGATGGACACTCGCAACTATAATAACAGAAACAGTTACAAGTTACAACAGTTACAACGCCGGCGCGTTTTGGGGGTTCGAAATGTGAGGATTGGAGATTTGATTAAGATATTAGGACGGAGAGGAATTGGGCCTCCGCCGGTAACCTCCTCACTTACGTCGGTTTTCTGTGAGGACGTCGTGGTACCACTCCGGTAGAGCACATTCGTGCCGAAACATGGCTCTCCCACACTTTCATATGAACATTTAACCACATTTTCATAGGTTTTAGGCAACAAACAAAAACTACCGTATCTACTTATCAAACTTTTGTTTAGGAGCGTTGTTCTCGGTGCTCCACTTAACAAATGTTGGTGTTAATGTTAATCGTTAAGCTAGTATTCTGTGGTTAAGCGTCCATTTATGTAAGAAGTTCTGTTTATGGGTTAAGAATCTACCCAACATAACTATTATAAGTAGTTCACATTCACAATAATGTCAATATTTCTGTGGTTTTGTTAGCGTCAACGGCCATGTAGAACCACAATAACACAATAGTTAGATACTTACACCACGTTACACCAAACGGTTAAAAATAAACTTACTCATAATAAACACATTGCTTAACATCTGCTTCTTCGACAACAGTAACAGTAAACACACGAGACGATCGACACTCCGGCTAAGATTGGCAAAATATACATCGTAATATCAATACGGCGAACATTGTATAGGAACTAAGTACTTATAATATATTTTGCATCATTTATGGATTTTATGATAACATTTTCTATCAATTTTGAGATAATTTTTGACAAACTTTACCTACCTGTCATAGTTTTCTTCTTTTACGGCGTTGCGTATCATCTCAGCGAGGTTCATACACAAATCTGGGACTACTTTCTCGCTGTACTCAATCTCAATTAGTTCCCCGTCCACCACCCTTTTTAGTATTTTTTCTATCTTCTCGGCATCAAAGCGTTTTTTTGGATCAAGTCGATATGTAGGTTGATAAATACGGACCTGTTTAGACACAGGTTTGACTTCAGCCATATTGTTGGATCAATTGTTGCAACATAGCAACAAAATGGTATAATAAAGATACCTGCCCACTACGAGTACCTATGTAACATGTAAGTTATGTTAGGTACACATAACTTACGTGTCTACCTGAAAATTCCGCACTAGAGGGGGAGGGGGGTCCGTCGACTGTACCCACTGATATTTTAAATATTACATCATTCCCCATATTTCTCCCAGATGTCCCAGGTCAGCCCAGGTGTTAGTGTCGTTGAGGCTGTGACACATGTAGGTACATGATAGGAAATGTATAGATTTCCTAGGAAACATTTCTTAGAATGACGATATGGATATATATGATGGATATATCAACCTTCCTTGTGCATGCATACTGCTAAGTAATGCTAACGAGTGGAATTCTTGGCCAGAGAGTTCCCTGAAGGGTATAACCTGGGTGTGTTCAAGGCCTGAGTGAAAAGGTTGCTTATGGGACGACGTGCTCCATCGTAGACCGCATCATCACTTACCTACCACCAGGCGAGATAGTGGTCAAACGTCGACCCATCAATCATAAAAATAATATCTAGACTACATCCAGACCCAGGGCCAAAATTTTAAGTAAGTATTAGTATCTACCTAAGCTTGTCTGTGTAAAATATTTCAATAAATAATTGTAAAAATTAAACATTAGTACACACACCTGTCAGTAGAAAATTGCGACTAATCACTCAGTTAATCGGTTTCATACTTACTGGCTTATTGCGTAGGGACGGCCTGAAACTCATACGCCTGCCAATTGTATTACTGTTTGCACCCAGAGACTGCTTTCTATAGTCACGAGACATTTTTGCACAAATTAATATTAACGGTAGCCCAACGTAGCCTACTAGTTTAAATATACTTCTATGTAATATCGTCTATACTCAAACAAAGCTATATTTTCAAAGCCTGAAATTGCATTGTTATTGTATTAATCTCTGTCTTCATAAAATTGTATGCAAGGATTAAAAATAATGAACGGCACTAGGCATTCTCTTGATCTTGATTCTGGTTGCATTTACAAATAAAAGTACAAAATCTACATGTCACACCTAGACCTTGGCGGGACGCGCGTGACGCTCCTCGCAACCCAGCCATCGCGAAGGACACACCGGGCATCGGGAATCGCGAGACGATCTCCAGCCACCGTAAGCGTGGGCCTGCGGACGGCGAGCATGGGTGGCTCCCCGTCCGACCAGAAAGAGACCCGAGCGTACGGCGCGTCGCGTTCCGCGCGCGCCTCAAAGAGCCATCAGACCACCATAGATGGGGCCCAACAGGGCCGATGCCGAATCGGAGTTGCGGTGAACCTAACGGGTAACCGGAACGGGTAACGTGCAGGAGAAGGAACGGGGTGGTTTTTAGTCAATAAGAGTCTGACACTCCCTCCTGCCTCACTCAGGCGGGAGCAGTCATTCGATGATTTTCCCCCCTAAAAAAACACCTAGACCTTGAACAACAATTTGTGAATCACACAAAAACTTATTCAGAGCGAGAATCGAACCCGCGATAGGCCCGACACGTTGCGTTGCAATTACTACCCAGCCGCTGCGCTAATACATAGTACTACTTACTTTATACTTTTAACTAAAACCTCAAGTATAGTATAGTATTAGATCTCTAACATATAATATAATAGAGATTATATTAAAGTTAGAGAACTTTAATCTATAAGACAAGGAGGAACGGTTATAGAAAAAATATGTTTTCAAATAGATGTTATCATGTTAGCGTTTAGTTGACATCGATATTTACAATTTTTATTATTATATTTGGTTGCATCTCTAGTAATAGACACTCACGCCATCTTTTGATTGTTCCATAATGACATCTGTTGACTCGTGTCATTGATAATCATGTCATTGTCATGTCAATTTCACAAAAAGCCGCGAAATACCCAAGAAAATTGACAAGTTGTTCGTAATTTGTAATTTCGTATTGTAATGTAATCGAATTTGTTGACCAAATCGTAATCGTAAATATATTAAATATTACATTCTTACTTGTCGTGTTATTTGGTTTGTGATGATAGAATTGCATCTTAGTTAAAAACAAATACACTTTTTGTTTAACCTCATGAATTTCGGTGGTATTTACTATTTGAGTACATAGTGACATACGACAAAAAGTATAGTATTACTTTGCTGTACAAGTTTTAAAGAGAAAGCAGGTGAGAGAAGTTCGGTAATTACCAATAGTAGATAGATTTTATATTATTTTATTATATACTCAAAATTATATAGTGAATAATGAGTCAACAAACGAGATTGACTTGTTATTTCAAATCAAAAGCCCTGCCGGTCCAATCAAACAGGTGCGTGAGTTACAAGATGAATAAAAAACGTAGTTTGAGTATGAAGAAGCCATCAAGTCCAAGTACTTCATCTACTCAGATATGTGAGTCACCACGAACTCCAATGAAGAAGGAAGTTACAGTGAAGCAAGAGGAGAATACTATAACTTTGTCAAGTGACAGTGAGGAGGAAGGAACTCCAGTGAAGAAGCCATTCAAAGGAATATCTGTGAGAAGTATAGAGTCATTAACTGCAGGTGCTACACCAGCTTTCAACTTGAAATCTCCCAACTCCAGTTTTGTGGATCCTGACGCATCAGACTCTTCACCAACTGCATTTGTGTATAACTTGTCTCCTGGAGCTGTGCTTGGCCCACCACCCACAACTCCTAAATCTGCAAGTCCAGGATCAAGTTCAAAATACTTCTCACCAACTAAAAAAAGGTGTTACAAAACAAAATCTCCTGCTAAAAGAAATTTGGCAAATCAATTTGGGGAAAAAGCTTTTACTCCTAGCCCTCCAGACAATTTTCTGTATCAAACAGACCAATTGGATGATAAAAGTGAGTTGTTCTTCATCTATTTGTTTTTAAAGGTTTTAAGTTGCAATAGATTAGAAGTTGGCAGAAACATTTTTTTTATATCTGTTTTGGTAGCTTTGTAGTACTTACTTGATGTTTATTGTCATGTTAAAGAGGACTAGCAAATAATGTAATTAGTAACTTGATTTGAAATTCTACTGCATTTAGTACAATAGTAAAAATAGGATATTTAATAAAATAAATGTATTTAGATTACATTGAAATAATAATAACAGATTAGATTACAAATAGTTTGAAAGTACATAGTTGCATGATTCTTAAAAATAAACCTAATTATTGTTTCATTAACTCGTCGAGTACCGGTTTTGTAGACACAATTATAGAACAATAGGTTGCGGTCACCGGTGACCGCTTGGTGTTTGACAGTTTAATATATGGATTTAATTTACACACCTTCTCACACATTTTGGTGTATAATTATATTTTTTATATTACAGCTTCCTTCCTCATGACTATTATTGATAAGTATCTCAACTCTGATACTCTAAGACCATTCCTGGCAGAAGAATCACAAATACTCCTAGAGAAATGTACAATAGTGGCAAACCCTGGGAAGGATCTGATTTGCCGCTTGTACTGGCGTAAACCTATTTGGTACCGTCTGGATTCTCTTGCGGAAATTGTTAATAACAAAAAAGAAGTGAAGATAAGCAGTCCGGATATGTTAAACTTGCTGTCCAGCATGGAAACTTATGGCTTTCTCACTGCAGCTGGTACTGAAGGTAATACTTTCTTTCTTTGGCCACTTTCCTGGGATAGAAATTATACCAAGTGTGAATGCAGGCTATAATTTATCTCTGCAATAAGATTCTTCCAAATCCATTCAGTACTTTTGTTGTAAAAGATTAACAAACATATCTATGCATCCTCACAAACTTTCATATTTATAATATTAGTAGGATAGTAGTGTTTGTAAGTTATAAATCACAGAACGAGTGCTTGGTATACATTACATCCTTACTTCCTTACTAATATTTTAAATTGGAAAGTGACTTTGTTTGTTTGTTCCGCTTACACGCCGTAACTATTAAACATATTGCTTTAAATTTTTGCAGACCTAAAGTTAGAAGTCTGGATTAAATAATAGGGTACTTTTTATCCCGGAAAAACTTGATATTCCTGAAGGAAAACAAAAGTATCGGTATAGATGGCGCTGTGTGTATATGTCACACTTTTGCTAGGCTATTTTTTATCCTTTTGTGACGCGAGCGAAGCCGCGGATAAAAGCCAGTACTAAATAAACCACACCATGAACTCAAAGATGGTTACAAAAATATAATGATTTTTAATTCTAAAACATGTGGTAAGCATGTGCAACTTGTTATACAAGTCCAGTTTTAATAAAATTATGAGTCATAGAATGCAAATTAAGGCAGGAGGTTAATTGCATATTGAGAATTCTATATTGTGAACATTGAACTGTGTAGTATGTCAGGATGAACACTTTATGCATATTGATAAAGATTTGTTGCAAATGACGTCGTTCTTGAGTAATATAACTGTTACCTTTAAGTTTAAGTATAGTTTCTTGTTAACGAGTTTTGCTATTATTAAGGCCTTGTTTCTGTCTGATCAAGCTACTGCTAGCTTAATAGACACATATTTCGATAAAAAATACATTAAATTTACATTATTATTAGTTAGAATTCTACAGAAAAATAAATCATAATGAAATAGGAAACTGATCAATCCCCAAATGGTCACCGGTGACCGCTCTCCACTAACCTCAACATTATAGACCTTATTTCCAATGTTTAGAGACTACTTTTGTATGAACAAATTTAGCGGATTTATATCAAGTGACTAATGTAGTCCTATACACCTAAAACATTAATTTTATTTCAGGTGACTCGAAACTGGAATTTGATGACTATATGCAACTTTTGAAGCGACCAGAACTTCTGCAAATCGCTAAAGAGCTAAAACTGAAGATTCAGAATAAGCAGGATGCTATTGGTGCTCTGAGGAATTACTGTAAACTCAAACCTATTAGTAACTTCTTGATAAGAAAGGGGAACAGTGTCAATGATAACAGCCACAGAGTTTTAGCTATGTGAGTACTTAATATATGTTTGTAATTTCTTTCTCTAGGGGTCTGTTTCACAATATCTGGTTAGCCGCTATCTACCACATAAAATTGAATTAAGAATGTAAGTAGTATGAACTATCTGTCACATAAGTTTATCAGGTACTTATAAGGAGGTGGTGAAACCGGCGCTAGGACTAATAATATAATGGTTAAAAACACATAATAATGGTAGACAGTCTCAATCTTTCTATTTGTCATACCATTCTAAAGTTCTGAACGTTCTGAAACCCATTTAATTGCACAATCAATTTAAAAACTGCCTTGTTGGCAGAGTGGTGGTAAGTGCGACTGCCGGGCAAAGAGTCTCTGGTTCGATTCCCGGGTCGGACAAAGTATTACTGGGTTTTTAAATACTCTCAGTAGTAACACGGAGTCTAGAATTGTGCCCGGTATATGGCAATAGACTCACCCCCAATTACTAGCGAGCGAAACCGCTTTGGAGTAGCTACTAGTTAGTAGTAATATATAAAACTTATCAATTTTAATGTTTACAGCCTAAAATCAAAAACGGGTCGTTGTTACAAAATGTCACAGTTGGCTCAAGATACCTTTTACAAGCTGTATGTGTTAATGTACTTGGGCATGGACTACAGCATCATAAGAGATCGGCAACTGGAACTGGTGTTGCTATACGACAAAATTAAAAGGGAGATGTATCCGGTTGATAAAGATATGGTCGTTGACGATGCGAGCTGTGTGTTCCAAGATAAAGAGCAATTTGACAGGTATGTTTTTTCAACAATTTACAATTTATGTAACACTAGCTTTTACCCGCGGCTTCGCTCGCGTCACAAAAGGATAAAAAGTAGCCTATGTGACATATACCAATACACACAGCGCCATCTATACCAATAATTTTGTTTTCCCTCGGGAATATCAAATTTTTCCGGGATAAAAAGTACCCTATTATTCAATCCGGACTTCTAACTTTATGTCTGCAAAAATTCAAAGCAATCGGTTTAGTAGTTACGGCGTGAAAGCGGAACAAGAAAACAAACTCACTTTCCGATTTATAATATTATATTAGTAAGGATTATGCAGTCATAAGTACCTGAACTCTGATACTGTAAGACTGTTCCTAGCAGAAGAATCACAAATGCTCATAAAGAAATGTACAATAGTAGCAAACCCTGGGAAGGATCTAATTTGCCGCTTGTACTGGCGCAAAACTACTTGGTACCGTCTGGATTCTCTTGCGGAAATTGTTAATAACAAAAAGTTTTTAATATAATTTAAAGTAAGTGTTAAACTTTTACACTACTATTGTGTCTCTCTACGGTTGACTGTTAGAGAATACCACTAGGCATTAAGTCCGCCATTGTATATCTACAAAAAGTGTAAATAAAAAAAACAAGTGAAGATAAGCGTCCGGATATGTTAAACTTGCTGTCCAGCTTGGAAACTTATGACTTCCTCACTGCAGCTGGTACTCTCAAACCAGTGTTTGTTACATAATCACACTTTCTTTTGACTCCTCTGGCGATGCCAGACTTCAACTGCCAAGTTTGAAATGGTGAAAGTCAAAGGGTTAAAAATGTTGCCCTATACAAAGATTTTCTTCGTATAACTGCTTACCAGGGGATTCGTCTGCTGTGCCGTATGTCAAAACAAGAATCCTGCTAATATTTTGATTAGTATAGGCTGTCAATCCTACTTCAATATTCTATTGAAGACATTATGTGTTTTGCAGGTACATTGAAGCACATATGTTATACGAGAGCTATTTGGAGAAACCTTCAGAAGAAAAGCATTTAATAATAAAACAAGCTCATGCCTTGTACAAGGGACTGGGAGAGGAGCTTATGCAACGGTATTTATTTAATACTACTTACTACCGCTACTTTGGCCGCACACAATATTAATTTTAGGACATAACTTGCTTTTTGTTTTCATTTATCCAAAATAAAAGTAGCCTATTTTAGCTACTTAGTTATGTAGCTACTTAGTACATCAGCTACCTGCCAGTAATAGTGCCGTCAAAATCGGTCCAGCCATTTTAGAGATTTAGCCAGTACAAACAGACAGACAGACTATCGTATCGTATGTATATTATGTATGTAGTAAAAAGCGGTTATTTCATTATTACAAACAGACATTCCAATTTTATTTATCTATATAGATTCATTAATTTACTTATAAAAACTTGCCT